AACCATGGGCTCAGAACTCAATCCTGGGCTCTCCTGTACACAGCAGCGACCCAGCTTCTTGCAGCATGGGTGCTAGCAACGGAAGGAGGGCAGGGACTGGCACCCAGCATTCTGATGTGGGGTACAAACATTGGAAATGGCATCTGCACCACCCCACCAAGGAGCAGCCTCTGTGTGTTCAGCAGCCACTGGCCCATCCCCCCAGGGACATGGGGAAGGGTATGTGAAAAGCGACTCTTCCAGTCTAGCCCGGTTTCACACTGAATTGCCTGTCCTTTTTTATTTGGAAAGTCTCAGCTCATAGTCTAGATATGACCTTTTTCCAGATTGCTGTCAAGTATTTTCTATTTTTTCCTTTTTTCCAAAAACGGAAAAAACTTTTTTTTTTTTTCAATTAGGCGCTGCTGCGGTGGCTCAACAAGCTAATCCTCTGCTTACAAGTGCCTGGGATCCCATATGGGCACCAGTTCATTTCCCGGCTGCTCCACTTCCCTTCCAGCTCCCTGCTTGTGGCCTGGGAAAGCACTAGAGGATGGCCCACACCCTTGGGACCCTGCACCTGCGTGGGAGACCCAGGGGAGGCTCCAGGCTCCCGGCTTCAGATCCACGCAGATCTGGCATTTGAAGCCACTTAGGGACTGAACCAGTGGATGGAAGATCTTTGTCTCTCCTCTGTAAAACTGAGCCTGCCTGGAGCTCATCTGTATGCTGTGAGATGCAGTGTATCAGCCTGACCCATTACGACCGTCAACATAAACGGCGCTTTTCTCCTGCCTTGCTGATTTGGACAAACATCGTCGCCCTGCACGCAGTGTCCGCCCTCCTGCCCGCCTGCTTCTGGCATCCCCCTGACTGGGGCCCCACGGGCGCCACCTGCTGGCTCCGGGCCGAGGCGGAAAGCGCGCTCGGGGAGTCCGGCCTTCCGGGTCGTGCTTTCCAAACACGCTTTACGGCTTCGCGAGCCGAGCTGCCACTAGAGGGCGCAGGCAGCCCGAGCTCGCCGTGCTTCCCTCGCCCCGGATCACAAGGCGCGCGGGAGTCCAGTCTTCTAGCAACACCACCGGTCTCGTCCTTAAACCTCAGCTGGCTGCTTTTGTTCTACCGTCCTCCTGGCAACCCCCATTGGCACGTGCTTCCATATGACGCTGGTAATAGCTATGGGAGTCATTTCTCACCAGGAGGTAATATGCAATTACCTTTCACTTTCTTAACAATTTACACATTGCATCTTGTTCCACTTTCCCTGTGGCCTTTTCAGTTTTTTTTGTTTTGTTTTGTTTTTAAGATTTGTTTTATTTCTTTGAAAGGCACAGTTACAGAAATGGAGAGGAAAAGCGAGAGAATCATCTCCTTCACTCCTCAAATGCTTCACTCCTCAAATGGCCACAGCAGCCCAGGCTGCACCAAGCAGAGGCCAGGAGCCAGGAGTTTCTTCTAGGTCTCCCACGTGAGTGCAGGGGCCCACGTACTTGGGCCATCCTCTACTGCTTTCCCACTTGCATTTGCAGGGAGCTGGGTCAGGAGTGGCACAGCCTGAATTCCAACCGACCCTCCTGAATGGGATGCTTGAGTTGCAAAAAGCAGCTTAAGCCCACTACACTACAGTCCCAGCCCCTTCATTTTTTTTTTTTTTTTAAGGCAAAGAGATAGTGTGAGAGAACTTCTATCTGCTGGTTCACTCCCAAAATGCCCACAACAGCCTGGATTGGATCAGTTCAAAGCCAGCCAGCTGAGTCTCCCATGTGAGAACTTTCGCCTGTTGCCCCCCAGGGTGTGTGTGAGCTGGAAGCTGGGACTGGGTGCGGAGCCAGGGCTCAGGGCATTAGAGATGTGGGTGGCCCCAGCAGTACCCTAACTGGCTGCACCAGGCCCTCTCTGTTATAAAGTGCAAAAACAGAAATGGACTTTACTCTCCAATAATCTAGATTAACTTCCTGACTCTTGAAGGTTATTTTACTGTTGTCATATTACCAGGCAATATGCAGTTACCCAATAAAGCAGTGCAGCCATAGCCACTGGGCGCTAGTGCACACTACCAGCAACAAACACTGTGCCGCAGCAAAACAGAATGTGTTCAATGGACAAGGGCAGGCGGCCCACACCTCCACGCCTTGGACATGTGTGGACAAGGGCTAGAGCACAATATGGAGATAAACAGAGGGTTAGGTCCGGGGAGATCCAGCCCCTGGTATTGCAAGGAAATCAAAATCAGACACAAAACCTGCTATTGAGAAGAATGGTCACTAACAATTACCTACAGGTGCTCCCTATGGCCAGGGGCTACTATTATCCCTACCATATGGATTAATAGGAAATAGGGGCCAGCACGGCTGTACCAACAGGCTAATCCTCCACCTGCAAGCATTGGCATCCCATGTGGGTGCCAGTTCGTCTCCTGGCTGCTCCACTTCTCATCCAGTTCCCTGCTTGTGGCCTAACAATGTAGTGGAGGATGCCTCAAGTCCTTGGGCCCCTACATCCATGTGGGAGACCCAGAAGCAGCTCCTGGCTCCTGGCTTCAGATGAGCTCAGCTCCGGCTGTTGTGCCCATTTGGGGAGTGAACCAACAGGTGGAATATCTTTCTCTATTTTTCTTTCTCTCTGCAACTCTGCCTTTCCAATAAAAATAACTAAATCTTTCAAAGAAAAAAAAAAAGAAAGGTGGGGAACAGAGAGATTAACTGACTTCAGATTACACACACACACACACAAAAAAAAGGCAGAAAGAGAATCTGATCAGGGAGATGTTGGTGTGTTGGCCTAACCATGAAACCACCTTACCTTTCAAGGTAGCAAGGGATAAATGACTTTACGAATCACGTCAGCCACCAGAGAAGGTGCTGGAAACATAGATAGTGAGACCAGCACAGTGCCCTCAGTAGAGCATCGTGGGAACCCAGGCACGAGACAGAGAAGCTCGCCTCCTGGGGAGGTTAATGAGGACAGACACGAGCTGTTCGCCCGTGGCAGGCGTCAGGCCGGTGGAGGGAATTTGAGGCAGGCGAGGTGGACGCACAGGGCGACACCTGCTCATGCTGTCAGCACGTGGCCAGGGGCCTCATAAACAAGCAGGAGGGAGCGGAGACAAAGCTGGACCTCTAAAACGCATTCAACTTGTACTCAAATACTCTGAGCTTCAAGCGCCCAAGGCCAGAGTTGGATTTTTGAGCCAGTACAGTCCGTCAGCACAGCTCCCGCCCCAGCCCAGGGGGTTGGTGTGCAGAGAGAAGCCCCAGGACTGCGGCTGTGTCTTCAGCCTGGTCCAGCCTGGCCGCTGCAGTCATTTGATTGCACGAACCAATGCATGGAAGATTTCTCTGTAACTGCCTTTCAAACAAATAACCTTTTAAAAAAGAACGTGTGAGGTCTGGCACAGTGGCTTAGCAAGCTAATCCTCCACCTGTGACGCAGGCATACCATACAGGCACTGGTCTGAGTCCCCACCGCTCTGCTTCCCATCCCGCTCTCTGCTCATGGCTTGAGAAGGCAGTACAGGATGGTTCAAGGCCGTGCGCCCCTGCACCCACGTGGGAGAACTAGAAGACGCTCTTGGCTCCTGGCTTCAGGGTAGCTCAGCTCTGGTCACTGCAGCTATTTAGGGAATGAACCAAAAGATCTTTCCCTGTCTCTGTCTTTTAAATAAAATAAGTAATTTTTTAAAAATTAGCATGGGGGAAGGGAAATCTCCAGCCTATGAAACTGTATTGCATAATTAATTAATTAATTCACTTTAAACAACATGGGACCAATATGCTTTTTCACGGGGTTGCTGAATGACTTCCTGGTCTGAATTGAGAGCCGTGCATGAGACGGCCTGTGCATTAAGGGATGATGGCACAACGACCTAGAAAGCCATGATGACAGTGTTGGTGAGGGCTGCCCGTCACCGACTCCAGTCTCGGCGCCCCAGCCTGCAGCCCCGCCAGCTTTCTCCGGAGCGGCCCCGGGCAGGACCGAGCAGGAGCCCCGCCGTCCGTCCCTCACCCCGGGCAGGACCGAGCAGGAGCCCCGCCGTCCGTCCCTCACCCCGGGCAGGACCAGGCAGGAGCCCCGCCGTCCGTCCCTCACCCCGAGCAGGACCGAGCAGGAGCCCCGCCGTCCGCGTCCCTCACCCCGAGCAGGAGCCCCGCCGTCCGTCCCTCACCCCGAGCAGGAGCCCCGCCGTCCGTCCCTCACCCCGAGCAGGACCGAGCAGGAGCCCCGCCGTCCGCGTCCCTCACCCCGGGCAGGAGCCTCGCCGTCCGTCCCTCACCCCGGGCAGGACCGGGCAGGAGCCCCGCCGTCCGTCCCTCACCCCGGGCAGGAGCCCCGCCGTCCGTCCCTCACCCCGAGCAGGAGCCCTGCCGTCCGCGTCCCTCGCCCGTTCGGCTGCCGGCGCGCGGACTCACCCACACGTGGTGGGAACGTGTGTGGGGGGGTGCCTGGCGGCAGGCGCCCAGCCAATGGCAGAGGCGCTTGGCCCCTAGGGGGCGGGACCCAGCACACAGCAGTCTGTTTAGTAAAAGATTTAACACAATCTGAAGAGAAACCAGAGTATAGGACATTGCAGTCTCCTCAGGCCAGTGGGCGGGCTGTGGGCGGGGCTCAGCGGCAGGAGTCCGGCCAATGGCTGAAGCGCTCACGCCTGGGGGCGGGGCCAGAGAAGGTGCGGGCCCATCACGGGTCAGTGGGCGGGTTGTAGGCGGTCCTCGGCGGCGGGCGCCTAGGGAGCGGGGCCTCAATGCTAGAGTCCCCGCCTAGGTCAGTGGGCGTGGCTCAAGGTGAGGGACCCAGCCAATGACAGGCGATCGGAGACAGTCTAGGGAGCTAGGGACGCTGCAGACTCCTCTCAGGCCAGTGGGCGGGCTGTGGGCGGGGTTCAGCAGCAGGGCCCAGCCAATGGCCGAGCCGCTCGGCGCCTGGGGCGAGGCCAGGGAAGTGCGGGCCCGTCCCAGGCCAGTGGGCGGGCTGTGGGCGGGGCTCTGGCGCCGACGGGGCGGAGCGGCGGCGGCCCGGGCTGGCAGTCTGGGCAGTGATGATGGCGGCGACGGCGGTTCCTGCGGCGGCTCCTGCGGCCGCGGCCGGCGCCTCCTCGGTGCACTGGTTCCGCAAGGGGCTGCGGCTCCACGACAACCCGGCGCTGCTGGCGGCCGTGCGCGGGGCGCGCTGCGTGCGCTGCGTTTACATTCTCGACCCCTGGTTCGCGGCCTCCTCCTCAGTGGGGATCAACCGATGGAGGTGAGGAGGCCCCGGGGTGGTGCAGAGCCGGGAGCTCGCGCCCTTAGGCCGGCCAGGGTTTCCATCGCCTTCAGAGCGCCGTTGCCGTGGGGTCAGAGCCCGTGACACGGGTGAGACTCGAGTCTCCAAGGCGCCAGGTGGACCTGCCACCGACTTGGGGTCTGCTGGTGGAGGGCTGTCGGAGGAGTCCGTGCCTTTGTGGGGGCGGGCTCCCGGAGGTCGGCGCTAAGCTAAACCCCTCCTTGGGTGCACCCTGGCTTCCCTCCACCCTCGCTGCCCGGCCCCTGGAGGCCTCCGGAAACCCTGGCTTGGCGCTCCTCTCTCCCGGGGGCATCTTGAGTTTACTCGTGTTGGAAAGTGCGCTCTGCGCGACCTTGCACGCTGAAGAGTTGCCGAAGAAAGCATTCGATGATGTGCAAAGGACGTGTGGACTGCTGTAGGTTAAACGTCTATGAACCCATGGGCTCGGCTTAGGGAGCCTGGAAGCCACCGTGCCATACTTCCCGCTGGGACGGCTTCCAGGAGGAGGAGGTGACGGGATCCTGGGAAAGGTTCAACGAATAGGTACTTGGAGTATTTTCTTTCTTTTGTTAATAATAATGAGGGCTGGCACCGTGGCATAGCAACTAATCCTCTGCTTGCAGTGCAGGCATCTCCTGTGGGCACTGGTTCCCATCTCAGCTGCTCCACTTCCCATCCGGCTCCCTGCTTGTGCTCTGGGAGGTGGTGGAGGATGGCCCAAAGCCGTGCAACTCTGCACCCACCTAGAGACCTAGAGAAAGCCCCTGGCTCCTGGCTCCGGATCCGCTCAGCTCCGGCCATTGCGGGAACTAGGGGAGTGACCCAGCAAGTGGAAGATCTCTCTTCTCTGTCTGTCCTTCTGTTTGTAAATCTGCCTTTCAAATACAAAATAAATGATGTGTTTGCCCATTTGAAAGGCTTTGCAGCGGAGAGCCAGAGAGAGAGGGAGAGATCTTCAATCTTCCATCCATTGGTTCACTCCACCAAATCCCTAAAACAGCAGGGGCTGGGCCGGGTGGAAGTCAGGAGCCAAGGGCACCATCCAGGTCTCCTACAAGAATGGCGGTTGCTCCTGAGCCCTCAGCACCTGCTGCTGCCTCAGGCCCATTAGCCCATTAGCTCATTAACCAGGAGCTGGATGGAAGTGGCACAGCCAGGGTTCTAGCCAGTGCACCGTGGGGGGGAAGGGGGGGGGAGGAGGAAGCCTCTTCCGCCAGAGGCTGTTTGTGTGTTTATAATATTTGTAGGCAGTATAAAATCAATCAACTTTAAAATTACCCTGCCATAGGTTGATAGAATCTCATGGCTTATCTACAGTTGCTTTGGCAGGGCCAGATCACATGTTTTCATTGGGGCCTTATGGGGCCCGCAACTTGGTGGGTCCCCACTCCTGACATCCCAAGAGGCCACATCACACCACCGTGCCACGCACTGCAGGCCCTGGAGTCTGGTTTTGCTATCTGTTGTATTCTGAAATGGGAGGTAGGTGCCTGGTGTTCCCAGCACCCTCTGGCACCCTGGGCAGGTGCTTGGTTTGTTTGCATTGTTCCCCGGGGGATGTTTGCTTGTGGCCCAGTTGCCCAGATGGGCTGAGTTAGCCCTAGGAGACCATGGCTCAGCATACCATCCTTGCCCTTCTAGATGTGAGAGTGGCTGGCAGCAGGTCTATTCAGCACTGGCTCCTGCCCTGTTTGTATAGAGGGAACAGCTAAAGATAGTACTGTGGTGAACCTGCCCACAGGGTTTTCAGCTGTTCTATTGCTCTGTCTCTGCTCCACTTTCTATAGATAGGAGGCCGACTGGGACAAACAGCCTCAAATGACCGTCTCCCATGTGGACATTAAACCAAGCCTTGGACCTTTGTCCTCTTTATGGCCATGTGCCAACCAGAGCAGAGTCAATAGAGCTTGTTTTACCTTATCACAAAGGAGTTTCTTCCTTTCTGTGGCATTTGGGGTATGGGGAATAGGGGCACGGGCCAAGTCTTGCTTTGGGCCTGAGGGCTCCTTTGTAGGCTAAGGAAAATTAACAGCAAACAAAAACATTGTTGCTGATTAGAGTCAGTTTGCTGGGAACTTTTTGGAGGTCACCCTTCGGTTTCCTGGCTTTGGAGGGAATGAAGGAGGAGAGGGGGTGGGCAGCTCAACAGCAGAGACCACACAGGGGTGCATCTGTTGGTTATTTAGTGAGCATGCAGTATCTGCCAGGCATGGCTCTGGGCTGCCAGGGCTGCGGCTGGGTGAGTGTTAGTGCGCCCAGGGCTCATGGGACCTGAGAAAGGGACCCGGATGCAGCGGAGCTGCTTGGTGCGACTGCAGTAACAGACCAGCACCAGTTTTCCGTCTCTGCTGCCGGGTGGACTCCCGTAAGGACCTTTCCAAGCGGCCAGGACTCCCTCCCTCTTCCCTCCTGGCTTTGCATGCAGCTGGCCTAGGTTAGGATCCATCAGGGGTTTGCAAGCTGCCATTGCAGCAGAGCCTGGGGAGTCCTGAGCTGGAGAGCCACAGGCCTGCCTGCGCCTGGCAACCCCAGGAGGCGCGTGTCAGTGCGTTGACAGGGAGTCTAATGAGCATAGCACAAAAACAGATAGAAGGCGATAGCTGTTCATGGGCCTGGAAACGGATGAGCTCCTTCCAGCACCCACCTTCGTTCGGGGCTGCCTGGCTGTTTTCCTGCCCACGGCTGGAGGAGGGGGGATGGGGTTGTGCTGGCCATGTGTCGCTCTGCATGTCCCCAGTGTGTGCAATCTTCCCACGGCTCTTGGAGGATCTCGGGAGGGGCCTGGGAGGACGGTGCTGCCGCAGAGTATCCCTCAGCACCTCGCTTGGTGCTTCCCACAGCTTCTGGAGGAAGGGATGGGAGGAGATCCACACTCCCGGTCATCTCCTGCACAGCCTACGCTGGTTCACGCTCAGCCTGCTTCCACAGATGGTAGCAGATGAAAATAGCTGTGAATGGCACTTTCTCTTTCCCGCTCCGGCCCCCCTCGAAGATCTGTATTTACTTGAAAGCCAGAGAGATATCTTGCATTTCCTGGTTCACCAGCCCACATTGCCGGTGGCAGCTAGGTTCGAGCCCACCCCAACTCAGGAGCCAGGAACATCATCTGGGTCTGCCTCTTGGCCAACACGAGTCCAAGGACTTGAGCCATCACCGGCTACCCCTCAGGATGCATCAGCAGAGTTGACTGAATTACGGTAGCCAGGACTCACAGCATGGGATGTAGCGTTCCAACTGGCAGCTTAACCCACTGTGCCCTGGTGCGCATAGGAACGGCACTTTCCAGGAGGGAATAGCAACCAAAATGAATCTGTTGGCACAGGAGAAAGCTGGCATACTGCTTGCCTTGGTGGTAGTGGGCAGGTTGTAAGTCACTTGTAAAAGCCCCAGGAATATTTTCTTGGTCATTTCCTTCCCCTTATTTCCTGCTTTCAAAAGGAGTTACCATAGGAAAAGCCCAAACAAAACACAGATGTGAGCAGCTTTTAGATTCTTATTTTTAAGATTCAGTTATCTTTATTGGAAAGGCAGATTCACAGAGAAAAGGAGAGACAGAGAGAAAGATCATCCATCTGCTGGTTCATTCCTCTTCAAATGGCCACAAAAGCCAGAGCTGAGCCGATCTGAAGCCAGGAGGCCAGAGCCTCCTCTGGGTCTCCCATGCAGGTGCAGGGTCCCAAGGTTTTGGGCCACCCTCCACTGCTTTCCCAGGCCATAAGCAGGGAGCTGAATGGAAAGTGGAGTAGCCAGAACACGAACCAGTGCTCTTAAGAAATGTTGGCACTTGCAAACCAAACATTTAGCCACTAGCCATCTCACATTTGCTGATTCATTCCCTGATGGCCATAACAGCTAGTGCTGGGCCAGGCTGGAGCCAGGAGCCTCATCCAGGCCTCCCACGTGGGTGGCAGAGTCTCAGGTACTTGAGCTGTCTGCTGTTGCTTTTCCCAGGGCATAAGCAGGAAGCTGGATTGGAAGTGGAGCATCCAGGATTCAAGCCAGCATTACAGTCAGTGGTATTACTCACTGTACTACAGTGCCAGCCCAAGTGTCTAGGTTTTTAAATTGGGGATGCTTAAAACAGCCCGTTGGAGTTTTTCACCCCCTGTGTCTCCCTGTGGCTGCTTAGATAGGTGTTGGCAACAATTGTCACACTGGTGGTTAATCGTTTTTGTCCCTGGCTCCGTGTCCTAAGGCTCTTTTTGGGCTTCTGGGACAGGAGAAAGCAAGCATTCGTTCTCCCTCAGCCCATCTCTCTCAGGATCAGTAACACCTGGGGCCCTGCAAGTCACCTGGTGCGGCCAGGTGTGTCTATCCCAGTCCCCAGAGCGGGAGCTGACCACTTTGGGGCCGTGCATGTTGTGGGTGGTGCTTCTGGAGACCTTAGCTGCTGGTTGAGAGACGCCCCGAGTTAGCTGTGCTGCCCCCTTGCGGTACACAGTACGTGGTGCACAGCCAGGCGCTTTCACCCTTTTGCTGTTGCCCAGGAAATGTTTCCGCTTGCCCAAGATGAAAAAAAAAAAAGCCTCTTTGTCTTTCTCTTTCAGGTTAAGAGAAAGCAAATACCTTTTTATCGCATACCATTCAATCCCTGCAGGGATTGAGTTGAGGTTATCATTTTCCATGGGGCTTAAGCTCTTATAATCAGGACAAATTAATTTCTATTAATATCCCACGTAGCCACCCTATGCTGGCAGGTGATATCCGCCTGGTTAGCTAATCTTGGCTCCAAGCGGAGAAACCTGGTCAAGGGCAGCGTGGATCCAAAGACGATTCACCATCTTCTCCCCTACCCCCCATTCAAAATAAACCATTTTCCAAGGTGGAATCTGCCATCCATGAAGACTGCCTTTGTTTTAAAGAAAGAAAATATTAAAGCTATAACTGAAGTAGCCACCTGTTTTCATTCAGAAGGGCCAGCCTCGTGCAGGGAGGCGGAATTGCAGTATCCTCTCGGTATTTTTGGAAATCCCAATTTGGTTCTCTCCGGTTCTGCCTGCCTTTGGCTGCAAAGCGCTTATGTAACGCAGCGCCCTTGCCCATGCTAATTCCAAGAGGGAGCTTTAACTGCTCACTCAGGACCGTGGGAGCTGACTCTTGGCCATGTGAGCTCAGCCTGGAGCTGCTGGGGGGTGAGGGGGAAGCTGAGCTACCACCCCTGTCCCCGCCCCCCACTGTCAAAGCCCAGGGCAGCAGGGCCCCTCCTTGGAGTAAAACAGAAACTGACCCCATGGCAGGGAGGAGGGGAGCACGCACAAGCTCCCCCTTCCCCACTTTCTCCCATTGGAAGGCTGCACAGGCCTGCCCCGGATCCCGTAGCTGTTACCCGGCAGGCCTTCAAGGTGATGCCATTTCAGTTGGCGTCAAAGCCGGGTTCTCTGGGAGGTGGGAGGGTATGGTGTTGGGGTGGGGTGGGGGAGGGCAGTGGTTAGTGGGAAAAAATATTCCAAGCAAAGAAAGGCAGTTTGTAAACAAAACGTAGAAGTGTGAGTGATTGTCCACAGTGGTACTTTTGCAGTTGCACTGTGCAAGTGACTCCTTTGCCACTGCCACCCTCCCCGTCCCCAGTCTGGCTGAAATTCCAACTGTGGGGTGACTGACAGCTGCTGGTGGCCTTGCTGTAAGGCTCTGATGCCTGAGCCCCCTCCCCGTCCCTGCCCCCCGCCCCCCAGATTCCACTCCAGAGACAGTGGAGCCTGTGGGTGGTTAAGAACCAAACACCTGGGGCCCGGGGCCACAATGTAGTAGGCTAAGCCTCTGCCAGTGATGCTGGCATCCCATACGGGCACCAACTCGTGTCTCGGCTGCCCCTCTTCTACTCCAGCTCCTTGCTGATAGCCTAGGAAAGCAAGTGGAGGAGGCTTTTGAGTGTTAGGGCCTCTGCACCCATACCCACATGGAAGACCTGGAAGCATCCGCTGGCTCCTGGCTGAGGACAGCCCCAGCTCCTGCACCTGTGGCCTTTTGGGGAGTGACTCTTGATAAATCTACCTTTCCAAAAGAAAGGAATCTTTAGAAAAAAAAAAAAAAACGAAATCCAAGTCTCCATCCCAAAGTTCCTACAATTATAAGAGCTTAAGCCCTCAACTCAATCCCCGTAGGGTCCTTGCTGGCACCCTGCCATGAGGGTGAGGACCACCTGTCCTGGGGTTGTGGGGTTTCAATCCCTGTTGTCTTATCGGCATGCCCCATGGCATGATTTGCATACATCTTTCTTACTTTCCTGCCGGGAGGAGTCATGAAGCCTGAGGAAGGGAGGCCCATGCCAGTGCGGCCTTGGCAGCCTGGCACTTTGAGGGTGTCAGGTTTTCAAAGGCAGAACATTACAGAGGCGGGAGCCTTTGGTGGCAGCAGTCAGAGCCTGTCTGGCTCGCCTTTCCCGTTCCAGGAATCTCCCACGCGCTCTGCTCTCGCGCTGGAGCTGACGTGGTGCTGTGGGCCCCAGTGAAGCACAGGCTGGAATGTGGGACTGTGGCATCGGGCGGCGGCGGGCGGCCTGCTACCTGCGTCAGAGACGGCAGCAGGAACAAGCCAGGAACAAACTGCTGTCCTGCGGGTCCCCGGGCCTCAGGGCGCGCGCGCTGTGGAGGAGGAGGCCCGGGGCTGCCCTGCTTTCAGCATGGGGACTGGCTCATCCTTGCTGGTGGCAGAGATAAAGGCCGCTGCGGATGGGTGGCTGGCTGTTTTCTCCCCACTCGGTTCTAGAGGGAGCCGGAAATGCCAGCTGCTGACTCCCTGGGCTGAGAGGAAGGAATTCCCAGCACCTCAGCACCCCCTGGGCAGGGTCCGGTGGCATCAGCTGCAGAAACACAACCCAGAGAAAACTTCTGGGTCTCAGGGCCGCCGCCTCCACCCTCCACAAGATCCTGCCCGGGTCACCGTCACTCCCAGGCTGTCATCTTAGGTTTCAGACCGACTTCACCTCTATGTGTTTTTGTTTTGGTTCCACTCAGTGAAGAAACGGCTGGCTCCCCGCGAAACACGTGGAGAGGATTAAATGGGAAAATGCACTGAAAGCGGAGTCATGATCCCAGTGATAACCTCAGTTGCCAAGCGGGAGGGAGGGACACGTTTCGCCCTTTTGTCCCTGGGATCTTGAGCTCCAGGAGTTATCTGGTTACGGTGTTCATGTATACATGACGCAGTGAAGGCGGTCCACTGGGGCTCGTGTCCTTCCTCTTCCCACGGGCAGCCACCTCTGCTCCTGAGTCACTGTCATGCCCTTCAGCAACCTCAGCCCCTACAGACACATGAAGATACCTGTCAGGAAGTACCTTCTAGGGCCAGCACTGTGGCATAGTCAGTTAAGCGTCCCATCGCAGTGCCAGCATCCCACATGAGCGTCGGTTCAAGTCCCAGCTGTTTCACTTTTTGTCTTGTTTTGTTTATGTTTTATTTTTGTTTTTGTTTGGGGGGGGAGTGCTGCTTCACTTTTGATCTAGCCCCCTGCCAATGCACCTGGGAAAGCAGCTCTATCTCTCCTCCTGTCTCTGAAACTCAGTCTTTCAAATAAATAAAATAAGTCTGAGAGAGAGGGGGGTAGGGGGTACCTTCTGCTGGCTCTTCCTCTTGGGCTGAGGATATAATGCCCAGAGACCTGGAGACTGAGCCAGTGCCAGACAACTCTGGAGACAGGAACACAGCCCAGACTATTTCTGAATGGGCTACAGAAGCGACTGGCCAAAGTCACGCTGTTAGTACATGGCCCTCCCAGAGTTCAGCCGGGGTCCTCCAGCTCCTCCCGCCTATAATAGAACACGAGTGAGCAGCTCTGGGCAGGCTCCCCCAGCAGCACCTGGATTGGCATCTGCGAGGGGCCCATTTCTCTCTGCTTTGTGAGTTACAAGAACTGCTTTCGTTTTTTAAAAAATCTATCTATTGGGCCCGGCGCGATGGCGCAATGGTTAAGGTCCTCGCCTTGCATGCCCGGGATCCCATACGGGCGCCAGTTATAGTCCCGGCAGCCCCGCTTCCCATTCAGCTCCCTGCCTGTGGCCCGGGAAGGCAGTGGAGGACGGCCCAAAGCTTTGGGACCCTGTACCCGCGTGGGAGACCCGGAAGAAGCTCCTGGCTTCGGATCGGCATAGCATCGGCCGTTGCGCTCACTTGGGGAGTGAATTATTGGACAGAAGATCTTCCTCTCTGTCTCTCCTCTCTGTATATCCGCCTTTCCAATAAAAATAAAATAAATCTTTTAAAAAAAAAAAAACCTATTTATTGGAAAGGCAGATCTACAAAGAGAGAGAGAAAAAGATATCTTCTATCCACTGGGGTTCATTCCCCAAATGGCAATAATGGTCAGAGCTGAGCCAATCCAAACCTGCCTGCCTGCCAGGAGCTTCTTCTGGATCTGCCGTGGGTGCAGGGTCCAGAGGCTTTGGGCCGCTCTCCCGCTGCTTTCCCAGGCCACAGCAGGGGGCCGGATCAGCAGTGGGAGCCGCCAGGAAGCAAACCTGCGCACCAGTGCTGTGGGTAAATTGATGAGCATCACTGCAGCCCTGGCCCCCCGGGAGCTGCTTCCTGATTCGCTCGCTCGTGAGGCCGCTTGTGGACTTTGCAGGTTCCTCCTTCAGTCTCTAGAAGACTTGGACACGAGTTTAAGGAAGCTCAACTCCCGCCTGTTTGTGGTACGAGGACAGCCCGCTGACGTGTTCCCGAGACTGTTCAAGGTACGTGTGTGTGGGCCCAGAGAAGACTGCCCCCACCCCCACCACCCCAGGGTGTGCTCTCGCTGTGAGCGGGTGGCACTTTGGCAGAAGAGAGAGAGATGTGGCAACTACCGGGGCCGTCACTGCTGGAGGAGCAGGGAACCAAGGCGGCCACTCAGCTTATGACTACATGGCAACTTGGGGAAAGTTCCATGAGACTGGTGGCTTCTGTGGGCGAGCTTCCAGGCCAGGCCAGATGTGGGATGTAGTCAGCCCACACCAGCCACTGCTGGCCACCTGACATGCTACATTGGCTCAGGCCTGCAAAGTTGGTTCAGGCTGCTCCGTGCCAGTTCTGTGAGGGTGGGGTTTCCTGTCTGGCCGGGGTGTGGCCTGTCTTGCTCTACTTACATGCTTATCAGGAGGAAAAGTCAGGGTATATGAGTAATAAGGAGCTAGGCCTCCATGTGCACTGGCAAGGGGTTAAACCCTTTCTCGCCACACCAGTCTCCTGGCCAAGGCTGCAGGTTCAAGGATGGCGGGGACAGACTCCCTGTGCCCTCCACCGCACATCATGGTGGCCCTGCCCTTCTCCATGCCAGGCCCGAGAAGGGAAGAGAAGTCTCGGCTTGGGACAGGCCTCTCAGGAAGTGTCATTGCTGATCTAGCTACCTGCACATGCATGCGGGAACCGCTTGGGGCGGACGGAGAGTCTGACTCTATTCCTGGTGCTTCCTGCGTACACCCTCTCGCTCGTTCTCACAGCAGTCCCCACAGTGTCGAGGGGAAAGGAGGCAGCCCTAGTCTCACAGGGGAGAAAGCAGCAGTTTGCCCAAGGCCCTGCACTTGTTGAGAGGCGGTTGTAGATTCTTCAAGTCTGTAGCAGGACCTGCTGCCTCAGCTCATTGGCCATTCTGCTCCTGCTGCGCCTGGTCTGTCGCTCCCCTGCACGCAAGGGCCACCAGCCCGGGTCAGTAACTGTGTGTGTGTGTACACGGAGCCCCTGCAGTGTGCCAGGCCCCTGCTGGCATTAGGGCGGTGAGGATGGTGAAGGAGAGAGAACATAGTTCTGCGTGGACAGTTCATATTCTCGCTGCCAGCAGACAGCGGCCAACATCATGGCCACGGACAAACTCAGAGACGAGAACAGACAAGAACAGGAGAATCCCGAGGGCTTCCTGGAGGTGTCATGCGGTGGTTCTCTTGTTAGAGGGGTATGGGATTATGGGTCTTTAGCAGTTGGGTCTGTGTGGTGCGCTGCAAGGGGAGCACCTGTTTTGTAGGACAGGCTCAATAAATGGGTGAGAGAGAGCCCAGGGCCCTGCACTTCCCTGGCAGGTGCTGTCAGAACCAGGCTTGCCACTGTGCAGCGGGGTATTGGCCCCTGAGGCTGGGAGCTAGGAGGGCCAACACCCACAGACTTAGGGACATGTTGGTATGTTTCTTTGAGTGGGTCGCATGCTGCAGGGGTTCCGGTTGGGGTTGTCAGTGCAGTGTTCCAGGGGGCTCAGCTTTCTTCGGGGGTTGCTAGGAGAACTGAGTACCTCCCAGGTGGGCTGAGCCAAGCATTCCCTTCTTACCACGCGGCCCCCATTGGCCTCTTTCCTGTCACCTCTGGGGACTGCACCGCTGCCGGCTCCTCCTCCTCCTCCAACTCTCAGATCTGGAGCCCATTAGCTCCATTGGCTACTGGCTCGGGGATGTTGCTGTGGAAACCGTGAAGGCACTGCCACAGTCCTAAGTCTAAAGAAACTAGACCACAAGTGTGCGAGGAGCCCTAGCGGTGGTGCTGTCCCGCACCGTCTCCAGCCGTGAGCCAGGGCTCTGTCTGGCCCAGGGATTTCCTCTGGGAGTGTTGTATCTATAGCTGCCTGCTCATTCTCGCAGCTCAAGGACACAGCAAGGGCACAGAGCCCCTCAACCTCTTCCCTGACTGCTGACACCCCACCACAGGCCTGTTCTCACACACTTCCCAAGCCTCTGACCATTAGCTTCCAGCCAGGCAGCTGGGTCTCTAGAAGGACCCCGTCCCCTCCTCTCCAGAGCCAAGGTTGAGCATAACAGGTTCTCTCCCCTTCGTCCCCTACTCCGTAGGAATGGGGGGTGACCCGCTTGACCTTCGAATACGACTCCGAACCCTTTGGGAAAGAACGGGATGCGGCCATCATGAAGATGGCCAAAGAGGCCGGTGTGGAGGTGGTGACCGAGAACTCGCACACCCTCTATGACCTGGACAGGTACATGTCAGAGCCCAGGACTCGGGTGGCCGACGGTGAAGGTTGGTCGGTTGGTTGGTTGGTTGGTGATTTGGGGCCCCATGGAACCCTGTAGCTCATGAGCTCTGATATTTTCTGAAAACCAGAGGAGAGTGAGCCAGAGCTGCGACCTGGGAAACTGTTCATAAAGAGCTTTGCCTAATCTGTTCAGCAGAGGGACAGATTAGAACCAGTGCTGGCGACGGAGGGGACCTTCTTGGTTTGTCACAGATCACTTCCCACTGCGCCCCATCCTCACATTCGCATTCCTGCCCTGCTCCTCCAGGCAGCCCTCTGACCTCCAATGACCTGTGTGCCAGCCCTGCCCACAGAGCTGTGTTCCTGCAGACCGTATCCCTGCCCCTGTGGCCAGCTCCTTGGCTGGCTGGGTCTCCAGGCTGTGTTCCCAGCCCTGCAGAGAGCTGAGGGGTGCATGGCACCGCCTCCCTCCTGCTGAGCTGGCTAAGCCACCCGTGCGCCCCGCCCCCTCTGCCCAGCAACAGCTCGGGCTGCCAGGAGGCCCGCCTCACACAGCTCGGCACGTGAGCCAGCCCGGGTGTGGGCCAGCTCCTGCCACGTGCCTGGGAGTGGGGGAGGTGCTGAGCCGCAGACGACTTCACTGGCGGAGGGAATAAACAGAAATGAGCTCACCCAGCCAGCCCAGCCTTGCGTAAGCTACTTCTCCACCAGCAAGAACTCCAGGAATCTGGCTTCAGACCCTCCCAGATTTTATCCTGACACAAACAGCCTCGCTGCTTTTCTCACATGAGTGAGGGAGGCTCTGCTCTTCCCACTAAGCACCCTTGAAGTACTGGTTGTGACCCTGAACTTGGCCCTAATTGCTGACCTAGGAGGGTAAATGGGGACTTCCGGCAGGTGTGACTTCCCAGGTAGGAACACGTGGCAGCACTTATGGAAGAAGCTCCTGCAGGGCATGTGATGCCCCCAACCCCTCAGGGATTCCGGTGGCTTAGGCAGGCAGGTCAGGTACCCACAAGGCTGGTGATAGGAGAGACCTGGCCGTCTCCATTTCTAGGCCCCTCGGTGTGGACACTGGGGCCCCTGGACTTTTCAGTCCAGCAGAGGCACCTGCTGCCACCACCTGCGCTTCTTTCTCCATCTCCGACAAATGCAGATGCAGCACCCCCTTTCCCCACTCCTTTCCACTACAGGATGAGCGAAGTCTCCCCCACACATGAGAGTGGGGACTCTGTCCTGGGGTGGGCGGCGACCGGAAGCCGAAGGTCTGGCAGTGGCAAGTGACGCTGCCCGTGTGCTTGTGGGCCTCTACCCCAGGATCATTGAGCTGAACGGGCAGAAGCCGCCCCTCACCTACAAGCGCTTCCAGGCCATCATCAGCCGCATGGAGCTGCCCAGGAAGCCCGTGGGCTCCGTGACGAGTGAGCAGATGGAGAGCTGCAGGGCCGAGATCCAGGACAACCACGATGAGAGCTACGGCGTGCCCTCCCTGGAGGAGCTGGGTACGTAGGCCCCGACACAGCCAGAGTGCAAGGATCCTCGGGCCACTTTCAGTCTTGCCAAAGGAAGGCACAGAAAAGAAAGTTTGGAAGGTCCAGAAAGCAGGTGGGCCTGGCACTCATAACCACCCTGCTTCATGGTCACGGGCACAGGCTTGCACTTCTGGCGAGTGCCTCGGCTCCTGTGTTTTGCTGCTTCACCCAGCGTGGGCACCCTTCGTGGGCCTCGCAGTGCCAGGGTAGTGAGACTTGCTTCTGGGGTTACCAGCGACACCCTTCTCTTCCCTGCCACCTTCCAGCCTGTGCTTGGGCAGAGTCAGCCTGTCTGCCTCGGCAATCACAGTCATTGCCAGCCAGTAGGAGTGGGCAGGAAGTCCAGTCTTGCTCTCCCCGCCTGGCAGGGTGGGGCAGGGATGACACTCAAGGTGGAGAGGCGGAAACAGCCATGTGAGTGGAGGCCACACGGCTCAGAAACTGCAGCCTTCACGAGCAGCTTGGCTCCAGTGGCGCCAGGAACACGGTGGGTTGGGTGCCACCAAGTCAGGGAGCAGCTTGACGTGCCATGTGACCTGCCACTCCTCTCGCAGGATTCCCCACGGAAGGACTCGGCCCAGCTGTGTGGCAAGGAGGAGAGACCGAGGCTCTGGCCCGCCTGGATAAGCACTTGGAACGGAAGGTACGGGTCCTGTTTCTGAAGCACACACACTAGTGCATGCTACCACCCGTGCAGCAGGGAGACATAGGTCAGGTTCATGTCCACTTAATGCTTCTTAGCTCACGTGCATTGAGAAATGAAAGATTCTTCTGGTCCCAGCAGCTGCAGCAACTCCCGTTTAGAGAGGCCTTGCCCCTGGGGTGAGCACCTCCTGGCATGACGGCCATTAGTGATTCTGTGACGTTGTAGGTAGGGATTCTGTTCTCCATGGCACGGATTACGAAACTGAGGCTTAGCGGGCTACAGCAACTGTAGAGTCACATAGTCGGGGACAGACTGAGACCCTGCTGAAGGCAGCCAAGCTATATGGCCTTTTTTTTTTTTTTTTAGAATTTATTTTTATTGGAAAGGTAGATCAGATTTACAGAGAGGAGAGACAGAAAGATCTTCTGTCTGATGATTCACCCCACCCCTCCCCCCAGTGGCCGCAATGGCCAGAGCCGAGCTGATCTGAAGTCAGGAGCCAGGAAGTTCTGGGTCTCTCACACAGGTGCAAGGTCCCAAAGCTTTGGGCCATCCTCGACTGCTTTGCCAGGCCACAGGCAGGGAGCTGGATGGGAAGCAGGTCTGCTGGGACATAAACCAAAGCCCATATGGGATCCCAGTGCTTACAAGGCGAGGAATTAGCCACTGAGCCATTGTGCTAGGCTCAAGCTGTGTAGTCTTTACCATGGGGCTGTTCAATTGTAGATGAGGGAAAGGAGCCTCCTGCAGATCTGCCATGTGGATACAGGACTCCAGCACTTGAGCCGTCCACCATTGCTCTTCCAGGCACAGTAACAGGGAGCTGAATCTGAGCTGGAGCAGCGGGGACTCGAACCGAACCAAGGCTGTGTGGGATGCCAGCACTGCAGGTGGCAACCTTACCCATGATTCCCCAGTGCCGGTCCCATCTGATTGATTGCTAAAGGAAAAGAGAGTGGTAGGATTGCAGGGCCATCATTTGCATTCCCAGGAATGACAGCAAGCACCAGAAATTTGAGGGGTCACTCCTAGTTTTGCCAAAAGGTTCTGAGCCCAGCCCATTTTCTGGCAGCAGCTGCCCAAGCTCAGGCAGTACCTGCAACAGAGGGCCGTGGGCCGTGTTAAACTACAGCTCAGCGCGGTCCTGGGGACGCTCAGCAGGTCAGTGGCTGCATCGTTCTGTAGAGACGGAAACGGCAGCAAACACATAGGTTGAGAAAGACTTAACCGTGGGTGTTTGGTCTGTTGATCGAGACACCACTTGGAACTTCCTTGTCTGACATTTAACAGCACAAGTGTTCTGAACAGCCAGGTCTGAACTGTAGCATCTAGGGGCACAAATGTGGGTGAAAAAAGCAGGTGCTTGGTTAACTGTGACAAGATAAAGTCCTCCCTTCCAGACTTGCTTAACAAAAATCGAAAAATTGTAACCATTTTGAAACTGCAGGAAGTGAGGATCTTGAAAGTTGGAGCAGGAGAGGAGCCTGTCCTGGGCTGGGCACCTGGGCAGACTTCCAGGGCGGCCAGCTCCTGTTCTTTGAACTTTGCTGGTATCTGTGTGCATGTGTCTTTATGAACTGAAGTGTCTGAGCATCATTTCCCATAGAGATGTGAACGGAGGGAGTGACAGGGACAGCTACAAGCCACCTAGCGCCTGGTAGAGGTACTTTACCTGGCACCTCAGTGTGGGAGGGAAGATGGTGGGGTGTGTGTGTGTGAAGGTGGGCAAGACTGGGGCTCCTGTGCACCTGCAAGCTTGTGTGCACCTTGGGACTCTGTCCTGGGGTGGCAGGAAGCCCCTGAGTGTGCCATCCTGAGGGACAGGGATTTCCAGGTGATTGCCATGTGCTAGGATGAGAAGTGATTAGAGTGCCCAGTGGCGTGGCCTAACTGCTAAAGTCCTCACCTTGAACACGCCGGGATCCCATATGGGCGCTAGTTCTAGTCCTGGCAGCTCCACTTCCCATCCAGCTCCACTTCCCACCCAGCTCCCTGCTTGTGGCCTGGCAAAGCACTTGAGGACAGCCCAAAGCCTTTGGACCCTGCACCCGTGTGGGAGACCTGGAAGAAGTTCCTGGCTCCTGGCTTCGAATCGGCATAGCACCGGCCATTGCACTCACTTGGGGAGTGAATCTTTGACAGGAGATCTTCCCCTCTGTCTCCTCCTCTCTGTATATCTGACTTTCCAACAAAAATAAAATAAATCTTAAAAAAAAAAAAGTGGTTAGGGAGGAGACTGTCCCCATTGTCCAGTCTAGGTGTGGTCTTAGCCTAACCCAGGCTGGTGACAGTGGGGATTGGAAAGCGGACAGAGGGAGAAGTATTTGGGCACTGAACCAACAAGGCCTTGAAGGCGCATCCAGACCTGTGCCTTCAGGAACAGGGTACCTCTCCTGAGAGGGGGAGGACAGTGGAAGGCGTGGGGTAGTTAAAGGCTTTTCAAGAGAGTTTAAGTGGCTCCAGGTAACGAAGTGGAGCCATCTGGCCTAGAGCCTTGATGGGGGACTGGGAGGGATGGTCTTTGGAGTTGGGGGATGGTTGGGCCTAAGATAGAGCCATGGGGTACCAGGATACAGGATATGGGGGAGGGGTGAAGCCAGTGGAGGATCGAGGGCTCCCAGGGGGCTCACTGAGGTCCCCAGGAACCAGAGAGGAAAGATGGAGGCAGGCAGGGGGCACTGTGCTGCCAGGAGGTCCGAAACACAACTAGAGAAGACATGTACAGGAGTGATGGCACTGGACAGCACAGGAGACACATAGGACAGCGTGGCCTAGGGGTGAGCCCGGAAGCCAGCAGAACGTGAAAGCTGCCCCGGGACAGGGGGTGGGGAGAGGGTGGCTCTGAAGGGGTCCAGAAGGCCGGCAACAGTTCTTTGCCCTAATTTGTGTGTTTGGAAGCAGAGTGTTCCTAGAGTAGAAACTGTAGACTGGAAGAAGCTGATGACGCGAAAGAAGGGAAAGGGAGAGGACTCCAGAGCGCCCAGGGGTCACAGGAGGGGAGGGAGGAAGGCAGGGGATTGGCAATAGCCACCTGGGGCTTCTGTGTCCTCCTGTCTGCCGAGGGGCAATGGGGAAGTGTGCAGGGGCCGGGGGTGGGCGAGCAGCCTGAGAAGGACAGACAGCTTGTCGCCAGTCATCACGGAGAGAAGGAAGGAGGACACAGCTGCGCATGCAGTAGGGAGACGCCACGACAGGACCCTGGGCGGTTAAGGTTCTTGTTTTCCAAAGGAGGCAGTGACTCGCGCTAAGGGTACTGTGTCATTGATGACAGTGGAAGAGTGTGCAGGAGGGACAGCAAGATGGTGGCCCTGGGTGATGGAGCACAATAGCATGTGACAGGTAGCCCCCACAAGAAATCCTGGGTGGTGTGGAGCAGGCACGCTGGCAACCAACCGGGGGGAAACTGGGGGTCGGGAAGCAGGGGCAGTAGTGACCAACCGGAGAGAGACTGGGTGGGCAGGGAGTCAATATTGAACAGACACCTCCTCCTTTCGCCTCTGTGATCACTCCTCTGATTCTTAGATGTCTCGCTGTCCTTGGTGCCCAGCGTTGGGGTGGGCCAGTGCCGCTGCTGCCTCGTGGTTGGGACTGATGGCAGCGGCGCCCAGATCCATGGGTGCTGACAGGTAGGATGAGCACAGGAGCTTTGTGCTTCCTGCTCACACGCCAGGCCTCTTCCTTCTCCTTCCCCATGTGCTGCAGGCGTGGGTCGCCAACTACGAGCGCCCCCGAATGAACGCCAACTCGCTGCTGGCCAGCCCCACGGGCCTCAGCCCCTACCTGCGCTTCGGTTGCCTCTCCTGCCGCCTCTTCTACTACCGCCTGTGGGACCTGTACAAAAAGGTGAGGGCGTGGTGAGGGCCACGGGCCTGCCCAGGCCTTAGTCTGGCGGACCGGAGTCTCCTGGCCCTTTGCCGAGTCCCCGCGTGGTGCACACTGGGATGCCTGTGCATGCAATGCATACGAACTGGTTCCCCGGTATGGAAGGGTGACAGAGCCATGGGCACAGTCATTCAGTGATGTCCATCAAACCCGTATGATCCTGGGGAGCAGAGGAGGCCGTGGTCATCTCAGCAAATGGCAGATCCCCTGTGCAGTGTGGGTGGATAAAAACCAGACTCCCAGGGTGTGAGGGGTGCACACCTCTCACAACCTCTGAGGTTGTGTCCAGAGCTCTTAAAGGGACCATCCTGGGGCCATGAGTGCCCATCAGCGGTGGGGGACAAGAAGCAAAGAAGGGACAAACATCCAGCCTTCAGCTCCAGCAGCTCATCCTGGGAGCTGCGTTGTTTTGATTTTGTGTTGTTTTTGTTTTTATTTATTATTATTGGATATATATACACAGAGAGAAGGAGAGACACAGAAAGATCTTCTATCTGCTGGTTCATTCCTTAAACATTCACTACAGCCAAGCTGACCCCATCTGAAGCCAAGGGCCAGGAGCTTCTTCCTGCTCTCCCACAGGGGTGCAGGGTCCCAAGACTTTGGGCTGTCCTCGACTGCTTTCCCAGGCCACAAGCAGAGAGCTGGATGGGAAGTGGAGCAGCTGGGACATGAACCAGCACCCGTGTGGGATACCAGTGCTTACAATGGAAGGATTAGCCTGCTGAGCCATCGTGCAAGGCCTGCTGTGTTTGTAATGCTATTTCCTCATGACGCCCGTAGGACAGCTTTAAAGGCCAGCTTTGGAGGTGGTCATAAAGATTTTAGCAAAGTCATTATTTGCTTGGAGATCTGATGCTTTCTTGTTGTTGTTGTTAAACAAATAGTGACTTTATTATTGATTTGTTTGAGAGACACAGGCTGACGTAGAGGCCTCATTTACTGGTTCACTCCCTAGAAGCCAACAAGAGCTGGCGCTGGGCAGAAGCTGGAGCCAGGAACTTGACGCGGGACTCCCCTGTATAGGGCAGAGACCCAAGCATTTGAACCATCTCCTGCCACCTTCTAGGCTGCCTGTTAGCAATAAGCTGAAATTGGGCATTGGAGCAGGTGTTAACTGCTGCGTCATTCATTCCCTCCTGGAATCTGGTCTTGTGATTCTTCCGTGACTCCAGACCAGCCTACGCGTGCGTAGCTTGTTGACCCCAAGTCTAGACTATGCACTATGATCAGAGCATTCCCTTTGGCCTTTAGAAAGTGGAGCCAAGAGCATGGCCAGTGTTGATGAGTTCAGTTACTACCCAGCCTGCCCAGCTCCCTGCAACTTTTTTTTCCCCTCACCTTACTAACTTCTCCCCTTAATTGTTCTCCTTTCATTTTTCACACTTTTTTTTCCCCTTGGTTTTCATTTTTAAAATTAATTTCTTTGAAAAGCAAAGCAGCAGAGAGAGAAGCAAAGATCTGTCATCCACTGGTTCACTCCCTAAAGGACTCCAACAGCCAGGACTGGGCCAGGCACAAGCCAGAAGCCTGAAACTGCCACGGGGTTTGCCCTCTGGGTGGCAGGGGCCCAAGCACTTGGGCCATCCCCCACTGCTTTCCCAGGCCTGTCATTAGCACGGAACTGGGTGCAGAGCAGCTGGCATTGAACCACTTAGCCGGCTGTGCTACAGCCCTGGCCCCTACACCCATCCTTCTTATAAGCTCAGAACAGTGCAGGGCCAGGCACTGGGCCTGCAGGTGCCCTGTGCCGTGTCTTCTGGGATATGATCCCTCCACCTCTGTGGGAGGCCTGGAATGAATCTCCCGTGAAAGAGGCCCCAGTGGCATGGTGCCTTGAGCTGTGCAAGCATTCACATGTCCATGCCGCCCTCAGGTGAAGCGGAACAGCACGCCACCCCTGTCCCTGTTCGGGCAACTCCTGTGGCGCGAGTTCTTCTACACAGCAGCCACCAACAACCCCAGATTTGACCGCATGGAGGGGAACCCCATCTGTATCCAGATCCCATGGGATCGCAACCCCGAGGCCCTGGCCAAGTGGGCCGAGGGCAAGACAGGCTATCCTTGGATCGACGCCATCATGACCCAGCTGAGGCAGGAGGGCTGGATCCACCACCTGGCCCGACACGCTGTGGCCTGCTTCCTCACCCGCGGGGACCTCTGGGTCAGCTGGGAGAGCGGGGTCCGGGTGAGTGAGTGCGCACTCAGCGAGACCCTCAGGTCAGGCCCAGCCACGGGCAGCCCCCTCTGGGTGGACTGGGGGGATGGGGGAGGATTTCTCCATGCTGGCGCTCAGCAGGAGGGCTCTGTCTCCTTTGGGGGGAGGGGTGGCAGGGACCATGGCAGCAGTGGGTCCTCAAGGAATCTCTGATTGCCCCTGCCTCTTGTCTAGGTCTTTGATGAACTGCTGCTGGACGCAGACTTTAGCGTGAATGCGGGCAGCTGGATGTGGCTGTCCTGCAGCGCTTTCTTCCAGCAGTTCTTCCACTGCTACTGTCCTGTGGGCTTCGGCCGCCGCACGGACCCCAGCGGAGACTACATCAGGTAGGCTGCCGTGGCTCAGGAACCCAGTCCTCCCGGCCCTTTGTTGGCGAGCCTCGGGATGCTCAGGAGGTTTCTGGGGGATGTGTTGCAGGCGATACCTGCCCAAATTGAAGGGGTTCCCTTCTCGATACATCTACGAGCCCTGGAATGCCCCGGAGTCTGTTCAGAAGGCGGCCAAGTGCATCATCGGCGTAGACTACCCCCGGCCCATTGTCAACCACGCCGAGACCAGCCGGCTCAACATTGAGCGGATGAAACAGATCTACCAGCAGCTGTCGCGATACCGGGGCCTCTGTAAGGAGCATTGCCCCGCCCTGCCCCAGTGCCCCCGTGTTCTGGCTCACTGGAGGGAACGGACGCAGCTGCAGGCTAGGGGCAAGGAGGCAAGGGGTTCCAGACACTTGCAGCTGGACCCCCAAGTGCTGTGGAGTTGACTTCTAGGGGCACGGGACACGCAGGCTGGGTGGTATCAGGCCTGCCTGAGTAGCCCACTGTGGGGCAGTGGGAGCAGGTACAACTGCCACATTCTGATCTTGCCCTGCACCCCGTCCCTCACTTCTGCTGCCATGCAGGGGGCTGCATTCTGATGACCCCGACCCCACCCCCACCCTCCCATACACACCTCTCTCTGTCCCAGGCCTGCTGGCATCTGTCCCCTCCTGCGTGGAAGACCTCAGCCATCCTGTAGCCGAGCCCAGCTCAAGCCAGGCCGGGAACGTGAGCAGCACAGGTGAGCAGCCACACCCAGCCATGGCCACCAGGGCCTGGGACACCTCTTCGGTCATTCAGGGCTGTGTGTCTGAGCAGTGGCTCCTTACCGAGTCTCATGAGTGAGAACCAGCCCTTTCAGGAACCTGGGAAGGAACATCCCAGAAAAAGAGACTACCAAGGAAAGGCCTGGCAACAGAGATGGGCTGAGTCCAGGCAAGGAGCCAGAAACAAGGCTGGTGCATGGTGTGGCGTGTGCCAGGAGCAAGGATGCCACCAGGACAAGACTAGATACAGCGAGCAGCCTGGGCCCTCCAGCAGGGGGTGGGTGTGGTATGGCCTTGGTTTCCAGAACCTTCTGCATGGATCATAGGGGTAGGCAGAGCACTGGGAGGAGATGGGGGATGTGGCAGTGAGGAGTTGGGGGGCTGTAGACAGATGGGTTTGTTGCATCCAAGAGCTGCAAGGTGTCCTGGCTTCCCTGGCCAGGCTGTGGGTAGGGGATGGGGGCCCAGCTCACTTCCACTCAGGCTGCAGGGGAAGCCCAGCCCAGGTGTCCACACACCTGCTCAGGCTCTCTATGAACACTGCCGGGGCAGGTCAGCACTGCAGAGAGCTAGAGGACAGCAGGTGTGGCAGGTGCCCCGTGCAGGGTCTACAGGCTACTCACGCTCATGGCCCTTCCTTGTGCCCCCTCCTTCCTGCAGGCCCAAGACCACTGTCCAGTGGCCCAGCATCCCCCAAACGCAAGCTGGAAGCTGCCGAGGAACCGCCTGGGGAGGAGCTGAGTAAACGGGCCCGCGTGGCAGAGGTGCCTGCTCCAGAGCTACCGAGCAAGGCCGTCTGAGAGTGAGTGACACTCAAGCAGAGGGGGAGGTTGGAGGGGCCTGATCTGCTGGGGTGCCCTGCCAGCCAGCCAGCCACGGGAAGGGGCGGGGCTTTGCAAACCAGATTGAAATCCTCTGGCTTGGGGGTGGAATTCTGAGGCTGCAATTCCCTGGCTTTTATAGCTCCCAAGTTCAAAAGGAAACTTAAAATGAAACCAATTTTGTTGGATATCAGATAAGTGAGAAAACAAAAGTGAGACCTTGTTGCTGTGTTTTGGTTTGCTGGCCCCCCTTGCTCCCTGTGAAAGTGGATAAAGTGGGACCCCCATGGGAAGTTGGTCCGCTCCCTCGCAGTTGCAGTCTGCGGACTGGCCAGCAGAGGGCAGGACAGATCTTCAGAAAAGGGGCCAGAGGGCAGGGCAGTGGCTTGGCCTGCCCTCCCCTGCCTCCCCACCATCTCTGTCCCTTCTCACCCCACCCCCCCTATTGGGGCTGTTCTCTTGAATCCAAAGTCCTCACTTTCCAACATGTCCCTTAGGGGTCACTTTACCCCCAAGAAACATCTAAAAGCAGGTGGCAAGTGCCGAGCGCCCCGGTCATGCCCTGGGCCCCACCGCCAGGACAAGCCTTGGCCTCATCCGGCCTCTTGCCTGTGGCCTCAGCTCAGCACTTCCAATTGGTATTCGTCCTTTGGGGAAGCTTCCAGAATAGCGTTAAGAGCTTGGCCCCATCCCCCATCCTCCCTTGCATAGGCGGGACCTGTATGTCGCTTCCAGGGAGTATAAATGGGCTTGTGTCATCGTGCAAGGCCGTTCCTTTTGAGCCACCTCGGAGAGTGACTCTCCACAGAGCTGGTAGCTTCCCCTCCCAGGTGCCTGCACTATGAAGGGCAAGGCCAGGGCCAGCTGGTGTGTGGCTAGGTGCACGTGCTCTATGAGGCTTGGACCCTTGACCATGACTGACCTCTCTAGCATAGACTGCTGACAGACAGGTGTGTGCTGTCTTACTCCTGGGCATGCCGGCAGCTGCAGTCCATTCCAGGACACCCATGCTGCTGGGCTGGCCCTGTTGCCAATGGATACGTGAGAAGCGGGGCGGGCATAGAACAGATCCACTACAGGGCAGTGTCCCCCACAGGTGCTCACCACTGTTTAGGGACCCAGCAGGACACAGGACCCATCCTTCCTCAGCAGGTGACACCAGTTCTGCCAACTTGGCAGAAGGCAGCTGTTGGCACAGCATGCTCAGAGACCACGTCACGCATGTTCCCACTGGAGGGCCTGCAGGATGGTTTAGGTCAGTTCAACAACTGCAATGTTAGGACTGGGAGGAACTGGTATTTGTGAAAAACCCACCCACTGCTGCTTCAGCTACAGGCTCAGAGGTGGTGGGTGTGGCTGTTTGGGGTCAGCAGCTTAGCTGTGTCACAGCCCCTTTGTCCCAGATGCAGACAGTTGCCTTGTGGTCCCAAGATGGCTGTTGTGGCTCCGACCTTCAGCTCTTCATTTAAACCCAGAAAGCGAAGCAATACCAGGGGTTCACAGCTGACCAGGTCCTGTCCTGGACACTGAGAATTACCATGACAACCCCAACTCCCCCTGGAGCAAAACAGATGACAAACAGATGCAGAGCCAGCAGTGCTAGGGTGGAAACACAGTACGGACACAAGGTGATGGCCAGGACATGGCTGAGCGTGCAGGTGTGCAAGTACCATGGGAATTGCTGGCTTATACGGGTCATCATCCACCATCCGGGCCTGGCCGGTGGAAGTGTGGGTGCTGACGGGCCACCGACCGTGTCTGCATCCTGGGCTCCACTATCCTCAGGAGATGCAGCTGGAAGAGGTGTTATCAAAGTGTAGTTGGGTCTGATCGTGCCGGGGCAGGCAGGTGAGGCCCTTGCTGTTCTGTCTAGGAGCCAGGAAGCCCTAGAGTGTGATGTTTCCATGGTGACCAAACAGCATCCAATTAGGAACAGGGGAGGGGGTTGTTTTGACCGTGACCCAGTCTGGAGCTTGCCCATCCGCCTCCTTGGGTATTCTGTGCCCTTAGCAGGCAGGGAAAGGGGCAGCTTGGCCAGGCCAGGCTGTGAAGACTATAGGGTGGGAGGTACATGTTGTACTAGATGGTAAAGCCGTTGACATCAGCATCAGCATCCCATATGGGCGCCGGTACAAACTGGGCCAGCTGCTCCACTTCACATCCAGCCCCCTTCTTGTGGCCTGGGAAAGCAGTTGAGGATGGCCCAATGCCTTGGGACCCTGCACCCACGTGGGAGACCTGGAGGAAGCTCCTGGCTCCAGCCTGGTCCGTTCTTAGCTATTGTGGCTATCAGAGGAGTGAACCAGTAGATGGAAGATCTCCCTGGCTGTCTCTCCCTCCCTTTCTCCCTCTCTCTCTCTCTCTCTGACTTGCAAATAAAATGCATCTTAAAAAAGAAAGATTGGAATTGAGATCAAGAGGTCTGAGGACCTGGAGGCACACTGGTGGCCTAGGGAACCGAGTCCCGTGGCAACCCCTGCAGAACTGGCTGAGCTGGCCGGTGGGGGCCTTGGTTGAGCCCCAAGGCATTGGGGTTCCATGGACCAGGCTGCTGTGGCACCCTGCTCTGAGATGAGATTCTGTGAGATTGGGGGTGGAGAGGGGCAGCTTGGGGAATTGCTACCTCCCTTCTTCCCACTGACCTGTTTTTAAGTTGTGTGACTTCAGCCAGGACACATGACTCTCAGGAGCTGCTTCTGGTGTAATCCAAAAGCTGCATCCTGTCCCTGCTTCCTTCGGCTCCTGGCTGTGCCATTGCCTTGGGGCCCCAGCGTGCATGGGGCACCCAGCCATTTACCATGGAGACTGACTGAGGCAGTGGCCCAGGAGCCACAGGGCTGGCTTACCCCAGAACCATGCCTGTCCATTCTGTGCCTCAGCTGATTTTCTGCCGTGTGCATGCTACGGTACAGACACACCGCCTCGGGCAACCAGTGCCCCAAGCCCCCAGAGCTGCTGACCACTCAGCAGGCCAGCCACTGTCTCCAGGGGCACATCACCTTCTCCTTGGACCAGTTATGCCACCATGGAGAGAATCCCTTGCTTGTGCTATGTGCCTTTCCATGCTTCCTGATAAAAAAAGACCCCGCTGCCTGCTAGAAGGCTGCTGGCCCAGGAGCTCCTACCTGCCTTCCCCACCCACCCCACGCCTGCAGTCCACCCCCTGAGTAAAACCCCACTCGTGGAAGTTCTTCCTGGTTGATGTGATGTTGGCTCAAACGTCCATGCCTGCCTTGAGTATGACAGGTGCCCATGCTCAGAGGCAGCATGGCACCTGCGACAGAGCCAGGCTGTCCACACCTCCCAGGGGCTGCATCCAGTTCTGCTGCTGGCTGGCTGGCTGGCTGCAGCCTGGCCACTCCGATCTTCAGTTCCCGAGCCAACCATGAGAGATTGGCACTGCATGTCCCTGGGCACAGAATAGGTAACTGACTAACTGTCCCCTCTGCACTCTTGATGATGGGTGAGGTGCAGGAGTGGGTGGCATGGGGAGCGAAATAGCTGACAGTGTCAACTCTGTGCCCTCTCCAAGCACAGCCCCCTCTCTGTTCTGCCCTGCTCCTGAATCGGGAGCTGGGCAGCCAACCCTTGCCTTGCTGAAGCTCCTGGGCTTCAAACCTTGCCTGGAGTGTGGGCGGAAGGCAGTGCCAGTTTGGGTTCATCTGCAGATTTGCGGCTGTCATGGTGCCCCCTGCTAAGGCAAGCACCTGCTGTGCATCTTGTACCCATGGCCCTCAAGGGCTAGGGTCCCAGAGCAGGTACACTCCGAGCTGGGCTTCTTGGTAGCACCTACTGAGTGGGAAGGGCTTGGGGGCAGGAACCCAGGAGGGCATCCCAGCTAACCTTAAGGGCGCAGAGACCAGGAGCCCCTCCCTGGCTTTCTGTTCCAGCTGCCATGTGCAGCTCCTTGCATTAATGACAGATTCAAAGACACTGATTTCCATTTCCAGCGCTGTTGGCGGAGTTGAATTTTCCCTCAGCGCCCACTCCCCACAGGCTGTTGGCCCCTTGCTCTTCCTGCTGTTCTCATTGTTTTCCTGCAAGGCCTCATCTGATTTCCCCAGCCCGCTTTCCCTGCAGACACATGGCTTCACTCGAGAGCTAGAACACAGCAATCTGCTGACCGAGCAACCCAAGGGGTGGGCGGAACAGGCCTCAGACCAGCTTTGCTGACAGGGCCGAGCTAGTTTTTCTCAGCCCCATGAACCTGTAGTGGCGGCTCTGAACCCTTCCTGGCGGCATTGGGTGGCCAGGGCAGGGGCTGGGACATTCACCTACAATTAGGCGCACTCCAAACAAAACTGGGCCCAGGGCAGGCATCTCCTGAGCACCCAGTCCCCGGAGCCTCTGTAGGGACACCTCGACAGAGGCCGCAGCCCTTCCCCAAGAAAGCTGCCCACTCTGAAAGGCTCAGAGGGACGTGCCTCTAACCCCGAGGCAGTCTGTGGACACCTTGGAGGCCCAGATAGAAAGCCTGACCTTATTGGAAAGACGAATTTACAGCGAGAGAAGAAAAAGACACAGGTCTTGCATCCACTGGTCCAATCCCCAAGTGACCACAATGGCCAGAGCTGGGCCAGCCCAAATCCAGGAGCCAGAAACTTCTCCCTGGTCTCTCATATGGATTGCCTATGCTGCAGGCAGAGGCTTATAGTCCACTATGCAGTTTTTCAGCCCCCGGCCTGCAGGCAGAGGAGGTAGAAAGCAAGGGAGGCGTAGCTGGGGCAGAGCCAAGCTGTGTTCTCCAGTGCTGCCCGTGTCCAGAGGCATGTGTGTGGTATTTCTCCCCATTCTCTGTGTTGTAACATAAATGCACTTGAGGAACAACTGTGTATGTCATGAAAAACGTGTGGCCTGGTTGTAGTCCTAGAAGCTTAAAGGGAAAACTGGTGAAAATTATATACCCCACAGGCACCCGCCTCTGCTTTTGCCTTTTCGTTTTTCCCAATTTCTGGATAAATTGTCATCCCTCAGACTGATTGATTTGTCTGCTTATTTAAGAATCGGAGACACAGGCCCAGCACAATAGTCTAGTGGCTAAAGTCTTCCCTTGCACACACCAGAATCCTATGTGGGCACCGGTTTGTATCCCAGATGCTCCACTTCCCATCCAGCTCCCTGCTTGTGGCCTGGGAAAGCAGTGGAGGATGGACCAAAGCCTTGGGACCCTGCACCCACATGGGAGACCACGAACAGGCTCCTGACTCCTGTTTTTGGATCAGCTCAGCTCCAGCAGTTGCGGCCACTTGGAGAGTGAGCCAGCAGACAGAAGATCTTCCTCTGTGTCTCTCCTCCTGTCTATATCTGCCTTCCCAATAAAAATAAATAAATGTTTAAAAAGAAGCAGAGACACCGAGAGTTCCCATGCTGGTTCACTCCCCAATGACCTACAACGGCCAAGGCTGGACTGGGCCCCAGCTTAGCATCAGGAACTCAGTCCCCATCTCCCCACGTGGGTGGGAGGGATCCAACGACTTGAGCCATGACTCCTGCCTCCTGGGGTTTGTGTTAGCAGGAATCAGGAGTTGGGAACGAAACCCAAGTCCTGAATTGTGGGATGTGGGCATCTCAGCCAGGCCCTTGGAGCATCAGACCCGACACCCTCCCTGGGAAGACTGATTTGGGATCCTTCTCGACATCAGCTTTGACATTGAAAAGCGCTTGTTCTTTCTCCCAGTATCTTCCCTTGCATTCATGTTGCTTGCAATGTGGTCTTTCTGCCACCGTGTCCAATTGCTGTTTTTGCATTCTCTACTATAGCACTGAAACTGAATTGGTAACAGACTCAGAGCCAGACAGCCCTGGGCTTCATGTGTCGGCTCTAACAAACTGCCCATCTGGCTTCAGTTTTCTCATCTGGAAACACAGAGGCCCTGTTTCCGGGATGAGTGGGGTCTCAAGGGTGTGTGAGTCTGCCAGGTGCCCTCAGCTGCAGAAATGTGTCACCCTGTCCGTCTGCCGGCAAGCAGCCCCAAGGTCAAGGTGTAGGCTAGGCTTTGTCGGAGTCCTCTGTCAGTCTGTGCCTTCCATAGTTTCACTTCTGTGCTGTCTGCACCTAAACTTCCTCTTGCTTCAGGAACTCCAGCCATACTGGGTTCATCCCACTTAAGTACTCCTATAAAGACTTTTTTTAAGGACTTATTTTTATTTTTGTTAGGAAATCAGATTTACAGAGAGGAGAGACAGAAAGATCTTTTTATCTGCTGGTTCACTCCCCAAATAGTAACCATGGCCAGAGCTGAGCTAATCCAGAGCCAGGAGCTTCTTTCAGATCTCCCACACAAGTACAGGGTCCCAAGGCTTTGGGCTGTCCTCGACTGCTTTCCCAGGCCACAAGCAGGGAGCTGGATCAGAAGTGGAACAGCCAGGACACGACCTGGAGCCAGTATAGGATCTCAGCACTTGCAAGGTAGAAGATTAGCCAATGGAACCATCACACTAGGCCCTTCTTAAAAGACCATTAGCCCACTGTGCTCACATGTTGCTGTCCCGGAGGTCTCAACATGGAATCTGGGTTGGGGGGCGGAACAAAGCTCAAGCAGAGCATAATGCATCATGCCAGACTCCGAGTCACCCCGGGAAAGCCTGCGAGCTGCTGCCCTGCCTCCCTCTCCATAGACCCCAGCCACATGACACCTGCATACCCGGTTGCCCCACCTGATAGTCAGCCAGCCCATCCTCTGGTCGGGGATGAAGCCAGTCTTCCCTTGGTCCCCAATGCAGGTCACATTTCAGAGCCATCCTGGCACCGCCCCTGCCACCCTCCTGCCCTCTAGATCTGTGCCAGAACCCTGATCTACCTGTGGAGATCTGCCCACCTGCTAGTGTTCAACACAATTATGACCTTGCTGGCCCCAGCGGGCATCTCTTCCAGCCCCTTCTTTCCTCTGGCAGTGCTGCTGTGCCCTTGACTCGGCACCTGTCTCAAGACTTCAAGTGAGTCCCTCACTGCCTGGACCTCCTCCTCTGCCACCTCCCCTCCTGACTCCCAGTCCCACAAGGCAGGAGGGTCTACAGCAGAGAGCTGGTCCTGCCAGCCTTCTGAGGGCCGGAGTTCAGTCACCCCTGGGGCAGCCCAACACCAGGCTGTCCTCAGGGACCATGACTCATGTGCTCATGCCTTTGGCTCTTCCCAGCTGCCAGTGTGGTTGTCCCTAGAGAAGCCACCACAGCAGCTCACGTCCCTGGGGAAAGTGCGCAGTCTCCTCAATGTCCCTTTCATACTTGTTTGTCTCTTACAGCTGCAGCACCATTGCTCCGGGAGCAAACCTGGGCGCCCAAGAAGGCCCCCCCCCCATGGCAGCTGAGTGTGACCTGCACAGAAGCCAGTCGCCGACAGAGGCGGGCCGTGGACGCGTGTGTGTGTGTGTGTGTATGCGCATGTGCAGGGGAACAAGTGGTATGCCTGTGTGTGTGCGCGTGAGTGTATTGACACTGTGGAGCCTGGGCTAGAGGAGGAATGCGAGGGCCATGGCCCAGCCTCCAGACACAGGGCTAAGCCATGGCTGGGACTTTGAGCCAAAACCTGCTGGAAAGCAGCTGCCTTGTCTGAGTAGCAAGAATGGGGGGGCCCTTGCTACAACCCTGGCATCTGCCTCCCCTGGTCTTCCTCCCACTTGACATCAGACTGAGGAGTGTGGGAGCCACAGGATTGGTTTCCTGAGGCAACCAGAGTCCGGCTGAGCCCCCACCAAGCCCCCCAGGTGGGCTGGGCACGGGAATGCTGTTCAGACTCAGCCATCACGCCTTTTAGTTTTAAAAGGTCCTGCAGACCCTCCCTTGCACATCTGGCATTGAGCACAAGGCTGTGGAACTAGAAATTTCTGCCACGACACTCAGACACCCAGGCAGCAGGATAAGTGCCAGTGTTATGGGTGGTAGCCTGGTAGCCAAGGCCAGGAGCGATAGCCAGTTCTCACAGTTCCTTCCATGTTAGCAGTCAAGAGCCAGCCTTGAGCCTCCCCCGGAGCTGTGGGACAGCAAGGCTGAGGCCCCATCCCTGCACCCCGCTCCTCTGGCCCCACTCCAGGACCTCACAGGACCGCTAGCCAGGGGAAGCCATTCTGGTCTGTTCTACAGGCTTCCAGTGCCTGCCCCGGGCTGGTCCACATCCAAGCTGCCATGTCAGCTTGTCCTTGTGGCTGAGCTCCAAAGGCCTCCGGCAGAGAGACCCAGGCTTGGGGAGCACAGGGGCAGCAGGCACACCAGGCCTTGCAGAAACATCTGGCAGGGGAAGTCTGACCCAAAGAAGCCAAGCCTTGCATTCCTGGAGTGGCCTGCACCTCTACCTTCCCCCCTTCCCCACCCCCTCCTCCTACCTTAGGCCTGCGTGGACAAAGATGTGATGACAAAAGGGACATGTTAGCAGAGTAAGTCTTCCTTCTACCCTGGCCTGCACTTGAGCCACCAGGAGTGTGTGTGTATGTGCGTGTACAGGTGTGTGTACACAAAGCTGCGAGGCCAGTCCTCCTTGGGGGCCTCGGCCTCATGTGTAACATTAAGCTGGCCCTTGGGCCTCTTCCTCTCTACCTCCCCTGTGACCTTTTCCAGCCTCAGTGTTGCCACCTCCCTTGGCCCTGGCCGCGGCGCTCACTGTCCTGGGTCCTTGGACCCGAATGCCTGCGGTCAGGCTCACAGCTTCCTCAGCCATCCAGCGTGCTCACAGGCCTCTTCCAGAGATGCTCCTCTGGAGGCCAGCTGTCACATGTCTGTCACCCTCACTAGACATGCTCCATCGTCCTGTGGGGGCCTGTGTTCAGAGCATTGTCCCCTGAGCCTCTCAGCCCCTCGTCAGGACTGACTGCTGGAAGAAGGAGAGCGGGACCTGTTTGAGAAAGCTGCAGGCTGAGGGCCACATTTGGGGTTTCTAAAGCCGCCCCTCTGCATGGCAGGGGGTCATTCCTGCAGACTGGATGATGGCTTTCCCCCAGCTCCCTGCTGCCCCAGCCCTGGCCTGCAGGCCCATGCCCATGGCAGCCTTCCAGGGCAGTGGAGGGGTGGGAAAGGGTGAGCAAAGGCTGGCGGCCTGGGACACCATGGAGTGTTTGTAACCCCTCTCTCTGCCCACCACCGGGCCAGGCTTGCCAACCTGGCCTGAAGGCCAGCAAGGGGAAGAAATGGTCGCAGACAAGACGCACTTTGGAGAGCTTCGCCAGGAAGTCATGTTTCTCCCACAGTTTGCTTGTGATTCTTCACTGTTTTATAAACATCTGACTCTGTCTGTTAAAGCTGTGCTGTTGTCCGTTTCCCCAGAGGTCAGGGACCGGGGGCTCGGGGTGGCTGGCGGGGTGTTGGGGGGCAAGGCCCAGGGAAGCCTTACACTGCAGTGTGTTGGTTCTGCTGGAGCCAGGCCCGTCATGGCTCCATGGAGCAGCTGGGCCAAGCGAGGGGCAGCTCTAAGGCCCAGGCAGGGCCAGGTTAATCCAGTGAGGCCTGAATAGCACCAACCACTCGGCCTGGGATGTGATCCCTCAGCAGTGTCCCACTGCGACCAGGCCTCACAGTGCATGGAAGGTCTGCAGACTGTCAGTGGCCTTCCCTCACTGTAGTCAGAGGGTGAGGAGGGGTGTGGGCTCTGACAGCCAGGTGTTGGGGCGCAGGGGGTGGCACGAGGCTTAGACGCTGGCTAGGTTTTGCCCTCTGCAGTGCTTGTGGGCTCCCCTACTGGAAGTGGCAGCCTGGCGCCCACCGCTCTAGCGTGCACACCCCAACTTGTGGGAGAGGGCTCAGGCCAGCCCCCCTCCAGAGGATCACACTCAGCCCCACAGCATGAGAAAGGCAAAGGAGAACTTGAGTCTAGCACACAGCCTGTTCTCAGCTTGGCTTCCCACTTCCTGTGGCTTCTTCCCCACTAAGACACACCTGCCCTTCCCTTTCTCCTTTTTCCATGTTTCTCTTTAACATGGCTCTGGCTTGGTTTTGGGAGCTAAGATAACCTCTGTTTAACAGAAGGTTCCAGAGGGATTGGATGTCCTATACACATACACACCCCTGACTTCTTGTGGAAGCACCCTAGTTCTACAGAAGAATTAAGAGTTGTGGTAATTAGGCAAGACTGCTTTCCTGGGAGAGGAGCTGGGCTCCATAGCAGCAGATGGTTGCTGCGAGGGCCTGCTGAAAGGGCCCTGAGCCAAAAGGGCAGTGAAGGTGAAGTGGCCACAGCAGCCAAGACCTTCAGCTGTAGATTCTGGCATATTGGGGGCTGTTACTGAAAGGTCGCCCACTCCCTGGGTGGTGCGTCAAAAGAACGGGGCCAGCAGAGCCGTGTTGGCAGTCAACACGGGGCAGATGGGATTCCACCAGCTGTAGGACTGCCCTGACCTGCCTTGCAGAGGACAGCATAGCTTGTGGGCCTTGAGCAGCCACAGACGCCGGGGAGACCTGACCAGAGAAGCTGCGGACCACTCAGACCGGGACCCTGACCTCGGCAGTCTGTGCTGTGAAAGAACTGATGCAGGGTCGCTGGCGGCCTAGACTTCCCTCAAAGGGGAGGGAAGACAAGGCTGGACCCCAGCCGGGCTAGAGGTGCTGGGAGCGCTGGAAACCAAAGAACCCCAAACTGGTGGGGGGGTCTGGGTGACACGTGTGCCCCCCAGAGGGGTGCCTTATGAGAAACGCAGCAGAGCTGGGAAGAGGGGGGGTGTGGCGCTCTGGACACCACCGACAGATGTCTGGGGCAGGTTTGGTCAACCTGGAGTCCCCAAAGGAGGGGACAGCAGTGGGAGAGGCCTGGAGCTCGGCGCAGGAGGTAGAGTGCTCCCAGCTCCTGGGGACAACACATTTCTGTTACCTGTCAGCCTCACGAGCACCATGACATTTGACAATCTAGTTCCCCTTTCACAGGTGGGACCAGAACATCAGCAACGCAAGGTCCCCCACCTTCTCATCTGTTATTGGAGAGCACCTGATTCAAACCTGGCTCCAAGATCCCCTTCCTCAACCACGACCTTCCTGTCCTTCCCGCCATCGTCTCTTCTGGAGACAGCCAAAGAGGGCCTTGCATGGGGACCTAATTCCCGCCCCCGCCCCCCCACGAGGCAGCGCCAGCCATGGGATTGGGGGTGCTCTGCGAGGTTGGGGACTAGAACGGGGCGGGGCCGAGCCCAGGCGACGGAGGGGAGGGGGGCGTGCCTTCAGCACCTCGGAGAGCACCGCCTCGGGGCGGGGCCGGCGTCGCCGGGGCGGGGCGCACGAGACCCCGGCCCGGCCCGGGGGCGCGCACCGGGGCGCGCTCGCCACTTGCCGCCAGCGGCGCGCCGTCGGGAGCCGCGCCCTGCCCAGCGCAGGTGCGCCCCGCCGCTCGCTCCCCGCCCGAGCCCCGCGGCGGCGGCGGCTTCTCCCGCGCCCCCGCCCCCTGCTCCGCCGCCGCCGCTGCCGCCTCCCCCGCGCCGCGCTCCGCCCGGATGGCCAGGGCTGTGCCCGAGAATGGCGGAGCGAGAAAGCGGCGGCCTGGGCGGGGGGGCAGCTTCCCCGCCGGCTGCCTCCCCGTTCCTGGGGCTGCACATCGCGTCGCCTCCCAATTTCAGGTGAGCATCTCCTGCCGCCGCGCGCCGCGCCCTCCCGTCCGTCGGGACCGAGCAACCGAGACTGGCTCATCCCGCCGCAGTGGCTGGGGAATCGGGAACGCGAGGACGGCTTGGGGCTGGGTGGGCTTTCTTGCACCGAGGCCTCGGGAAGCACACCAACTTGGGTCTGAACCGATCGCCCCGCCGTGCGCCGGGTGGCTGCGGCCGCCATTGCGCGTCCTCGGGTGCAAGGTGTTGAGCTAGAATCGGGGGAGGGGGCTCAGAGGACGCCTTCTTCTCCACTGCAGGGCCTTGGCCCGGCCGGGGTCGAGGTCGAGGTCTAGAACAGGCAAGCAGGGCGGATGTTTGCCTGTCTGATGAGGGTTTTCCGAGTAGAGAGGAAAGTAGGCTAGGGTGGTCCTTGGTTCCCAGTTCCGTGTGGGTAACAGACAAGCTTGGTGCTGGGAGAAGGGAATAGTGGCTCCTTCCCCCAGTGCTGCCTGGCCAGAGGGCCTGATTGCCGGATTGACATAGTCAGGGCACATGGACCTGGTCAGATGTGTCTCGGAGCAGGTGCAAGGAGAATCCTACACCTGCTAAGGGTGTCTTTCCCCGGGGGGAAGCCAGAGACATGGGCCAGGGTCCCTGTTGGCCTGAAGACCCAGGGCCCTGGTCTCAACGCCCCCTTCCACCACCACTGCCTCATCCAGTGTTAGGCCAGGTGATATCCTGAGATGCAAAGGGTGGGTGTGTGGGGTTGGGAGGAATGAACCTCCCTCCTATCTGGCCTTCAGCCAGGGAGGAGGAGGAGCAGGCAGCAAATGCTCCAGAGCCCAGAGAAAGGAGCCTGGACAAACCCCATTGTTTTCCTGTCACAGGAGCTGGCGCCTGCCTATCCCCTGGGGTCCCTACCCCAGGCAGGCCTCAGCTGGGCTTTGGTGCCAGCTCTTTCTCTGACCAAGGACATCTGTGGCTCATGGGCCCTTAGTGCGCAGGGACTTGCCTTGGGGGTCTCTAATGGCATTGTGGTGGGCGGAGGGGGTAGGGAGACCCGAAGGAGGTGGCCAGGCCCCCTCGGCTCCATGCAGGAATTACAGCCTCTGCCATCATGCCTGCCACTGGACCTGGCATGACACATACGCCGCCTGCCTACCCTGGGGCTCAGAGGGATGTGGGTTCAAATCCTCGCTCTGCAGGTTTTGCTCCCATGTGGCTTGGTCCCCCATCTGTTGAGTGGGGGTAATTGCTATTGATTCCTTCCGGGAAAGGCACCGTGTCCATCCAGTCACTGTGCAACAAGTGGCTGCCCTGCCCACTAGCAGGCAGCTGTGGCTCATGCTACTGTCCCAAGTCTTCTCCAGTGCTAGCTCACTTAACCCCCATCACCATCCCTTTATGGCTGAGCTGGAGGAGAGCAGTAAGGGGCTTGCCTGGGAGCCCTGGGAAAGCAAGAGGTGGGGCGGCTGGCCTGCACCCCAGGGCTTTGCTCAGTCTCTCCCCTTTACCTCTGCCAGCTCTCCTGGGGGCAACATTGCCCTCCCCCACCCCAGCCTTTGGCCGACTCAGTTGTTGAGCATACTTTAGTGAGGAGGAGCTGGGGTGGTGAGTGCTGGCTAGTGAGTGTGTGTGGCCAGCCCTGGGCCAAGACGAGGTTAGCAGCAGCTGCTGCAGGCCCAAAGACTGAGGCGTGGGCTGGCCCTCCAGGACACCGTGGCCCAGCTGTGAGGACAAGGCCAGCACGTGGGAATAATAAGAGTCTCTGTCTCAGCTTGCCTGCCTGGACTTCCTTGCTGTGCCCGCAGTCCCCCCGCCCCCGCTGTTGCCCTTTCCCTTGTACTGCCCCCCTCCCCACACCACCCCCTCCCGCAGCCCTTGACCCAGCTCCATTTCACCCTGGGCAGGTAGCGCCCTCTTGGAGCAAAATGGGGAGCTCACAGTTCCTGCTGGACGGGGGTTTGATCCTTGGCTGGACCTGAGCTCTGTGCTCTGATGCTAAGCCCATAACCCCTCTGAACCTCCACTTTCTGGGTCTCTAAAGTGCCAGCTTGGCCCCTGCTTGGAGTAGTGCTGAGACCCCAAGGAGACCACCCTTGGGAGCTCTGCAAAGGGCTGCATGTGCTGGCACCCTGGAGGACCTGCCCCTGTTGCCCAGCACACAGCAGGTGCTCAGTCGTGCCTCAGTGGTGTGTGACGTGGTTAAGGACCGGCCTGGCTACACAAATAGTGTGGATTTGCACCAGACGTCATTCCGAGAGCCATGTGCACATGCGTGTGTGAAACACACACCTTCCCCGGTCTCACGTGCCTTCCTCGGACACATGGCCTCATGTTCTTCTTCACACTCTGAGGATGCAGAGGCTGGGACCTGGAGAGGCGAGGGACCTGGTGGAGCTGGGATTTGACCCCAGGTGGCTTCACCCCTTGTAAGACAGAGCAATCCCTGGCAGCCTTCCTGGAGGAGGATGAGTGGGAGGTATGGGAGGCGGCTGCAGGAGCGCGGTGAGGAAGTGTGGCTCTAAATAACCTGCAGCTGATTTTTGCGAGCACACAGCTCAGTCGGTTACTCGTGGTCACCTCTGGGCATGGGATGGGGCGTGGGAGCTTTGGAATTTCCTATTTTTATAGTGAGCATAGTAACTTGGGTCACTTAGGAAATACTTGAAGAAAATGTTGTTCAAGCGATACGTGTTCCTGACAAAACCCTGCAAAAGCAAGTT